AGATTTCAGCTAAAATTTCCTGCTCCTTTGGTCCATATCTAGCGTTCTCAGGCAGCTGCAGTATTTTCCTGCTGCTGTGGGCTTCTGTTTCATGGGGAGCTGACAACCACCTGAAGGCTTCTCCTCCTGAAGGACTGACAGGGTGTCTGGTTTCTGAACTTCTGGTCTTCTCCATCGTGGTGCAGCATGGTCCTGGGGGTCTGCCCCTGCCAGCACAGCCTGGCTTTGGCTCCTCTCGTCCCACAGCGCAGCCGTCGTGATTATCTCAGGGCTCAGAAGTAACTGTGAAGGGCCACACAAACCTCACTGCTCACCGCCAGCAGCTCTGCTCTCTCAGTGACACTCCCTGTCTGTCCTTGGCAAGACAAGTATCTCTGTGTGCATATTTCTGATTCAAAAACCCATGGGGCAGCTCTCTTGTATTAATCACTGTGTAAGCCTTGGAGCGAAAGCCAAAGGTTTTTGTACCAGGACAGCAGGACGGATCCAGATCTTGCTGATCCCCCAAGGGGCCTGGTGCAGTGCCCCGGTAATGAGCTCAGCCCCGAGCAGGATGCTGCAGCGAGTCGCCCAGCAGCGTGGCTGTGTCCTGTGAGCCAAGCAGGGCTCCTGCAATCCTGGCTGCTGCACTGGGTACTTTCTACAAGCAGATTTTGTTCCTTGTCCCTCAGGGTTCATTACAGGATTGCTTAGGAGTTGTTCCAGGGATGTCCCCAAACACTCTGCAGACTGCTCTGTGCACCTCACCAGCTCCTTCAGGCGCTCGATGGGAGGTGGTAGACGTTCTGCTCTGCCTGAGTGTTCATTTCTTCAGGAGGTGGAGGATAGCTCTTCCCCTGAACTGATGCCATCACTTGAGGGTAACAGACAGCCTGGAAGAAGCGAAATCCAGCCTCTGTAGGATAACCTCTTAATTAATCGCTAATGACTTTGCTATATTTAATTCATCTGATTAATTCTGATTCTAACTCCCTCTATCTCCTCCTAATTTTTCCCTGGTCTTTTGCTTTGGACCTTACAGATCTCACATGAAATACTAATAATAACTAATAACAACTAATACTAAATAACTAATCATATGGTTTTTAGCCTGGCATGGATCACCTGAAAACAAATGTAAACATGTTTATTCTTCAGGTTTTTAGCCAGGTGGCCTCCTAGGCCCTCACTCACACTGCCCGCCTTGCTAGTCTCTGGCTGCTGAGCCGGGACTTGCAAGTCCGGCTTGCAAGCCACCCACCTTGTGCCTCCCTGCCCCTCTTTTCAAGGAGCAAGCGAAAATCTGGGGATGAGCCCAACTACTTTGTTCACAGGGCGCAGCACATGGGCCCATGGTGAGCCCCTAAGCCCCTGCAGTCACCCCTGTGCATCTCCTGCAGAGCCACAGGGCTACGAGGGCTGTGGCGTTCCTGATGCAGAGGACCTCTGGCTGCCCAGGTCCCACTCCTCGCCATCAACTTGCAAGTCCAGTATAACCAATGTGTTGCTGGGGTGTTTTTCCTGCTCAGGGGTGTTTTCCTCTGCCTGGATGGTCCTTCTCAGGTCGTGTTGGCCAGCTCAGCTGCACGCACGCCCTGTTGGCACCAGCCCTGTGCTGCAGTGGCAGCAGGATGGTGGGTGGGCTCGGGGTCTAGTGCAGCGCATCGTGAGGGTGCAGGAGGGTTGATTTTCCCTCCTCGCTTTGGAAGCTGTTGTTTGCCGATGTTTGCAATCTCAGCAGCAGAAAGCAGAGGTAAACGGTTTATCTTGTAAAGGAAAATAGTAAACATTTTCTTTTCCAATAACCCCTCTTCAGGTGTTTCCCTCTGCTGTAAAAGCTGCGTCTCAGTGGAACCCTCTGCTGCCATTACACCCTCTAAGCTGTTTTCCAGAGCACTTTCCGTAACTGCTGACAGATCTGGTGATGGATCTGCAGGGAAGGGCTCCTCAACTGGGCACCACCGAGCCCAGGCTCCCATCCTCTGCCGCCTCCTCGTGCCACCCCAGCGCTCCCCAGTGCTCTCCCCTGTGCCCTGCAACATCTCCGCATGGGTCAGCAGGCGCAGGAAAGGGGAGCTGGTCCTGATGGGAGAGAGGGGGAATAATACGAATGCAAAGAAATGGCATTATACACTGCCAAAGTTGATCTTGATAGGATTCCATGGGCTGTTACAGGCAGATAACAGGGACGTTGGCATCCAGGAACGTGTGCTTTATTTGCTGGCAGCGCTGTCTGTTTTTATTAGCTTTTCTCACTTACTCCTGGGGTCCAGCAGTGCTTATCTGCACTGGAAAGTTAATTTGGGATAAGATAAAGAGAAGCTGAAAGCACAGTAACTCTTCCAGAATAACCACGCAGATTAAGACAAGTAGGGGCGAGGCTGAGATTTGTCCCACCGTTTTTTTGGCGCCAAAAATCAGTACTGAGAGGCTGCATCCCAGCGGGTCCCTGAGCTCTCCTGTGCACTGGGTCACCCTTCAGGAGTGCTCCTCCCTCCCCTTGACTAAAGAAGGGCATTTAATGTCTTAAATGTGGTGCCAATAGTCACTTAATGACATATTTTGGGGGGACCCAGTCATGACTTGATGCGTTGTCTGAAGAGACACCGTGAGCCGTTGACAGCGTATCGCTGCTGCCACGTAGGAATCGCATAGGGGATCTTGCTGTAGCTAAGAACAGCAATACTGTCCAGCTGAACCAAACCCTCATCCTGAGGCTTCATTAAAGGCCTCTGTAAGTCTTTGGCTCTTTTCCAAAAGGGAAACTCTTTTATATTATTAAGTTGCAAGAGTTAAGCATTGCACCTATAGCGAGTGTTTGGCATCCATTGCTGCTAACTTTGGTGCAGATGTTTTCCAAAATAGCTAAGGTTCAGTCAAAAGGATATCTTGCTCTCCCCAACCACACTTTCTTTTCTTTAACTGAATCCAATTTTCTAGTTCGTTTGCTTGCCCCTTATTTTTCAGCTCTTTGAGTAGTATCTGCTTTAAAAAAAATACTTAAATTCAACGTCGCTTGTAAGCTGAGAGCTGTGAGGACTGAAAGCTGCCTGCTTGTGGCCTCCTTGCCAATTAGCACTCTGTTATTCTTCACAGATGATGATGATGCAGTAAATAGGAGGGAAGCAGTATTATACCTCCTGTGAAAGGATTTTTCTGTTCAGATGCTGCCGCTTATATGGCATAGACTGGTGAGTTTGTGCCCGTAAAGCTGATATTATTTTATTCAATTTATGATCTCCACATGTGCCTGATCATGTGTCTGGAGTATTTCAGTTGAGAAGACTTCATGTGTTCCACTATTGAATACACCTGGGCTGCTTTTAATAATTTTTTTGTGTTACCGAGTTTCAACTTTTACATAGCTGAGCTTCTCATAATCAGAGTCTTATTCTGCTCCTTACTACACAAATAAAGAGAGACGTGGAGATGCAAATGTTGGTGCGATTAAATCAGGGATCAGGTGTAGCCTGGTGGTCTGGCTCCACCAACTCCTTAGGGTTGGATAAAACCCTGCAGATTTGCAGGCACCTCCATTAATTAACTCTCGGTGAAGGAAAAAGAGTTTCTTCTCGTTTCCCTTACAGGGAATGTTTTTTCAGCACTGCTTTGTGATGAGGATGAAGCTGTTGGGGGAGAGACAGCACAGTCATTGCACACATATCTGTTCCCATGTGCCACCGCATTAGGAAAGCTTAAGTCCCGGGACACTGCTGGATGAGCCTGGGTTGCCAGCATTTTAGGCTGTGAGGTTTGTTGCCCCAAGGAACATCAGGTAGCGTTGACAAAGCAACGTGGGATGGGAGTGTTCAATGTAAGTGAGGACCAATATGAGTCAAGACTATATATATATTTTCCTAATTAGAGAAAGTTGTTTCCTTCCTTTGCAGAGGGTTTTCCAGCAGAGTGGGTGTCTCTGGCTGTAGGTGGGAAAGTAGCAGCAAAGTGCAAATGCCACGAGGCTGATTTAATAACTCTGTTAAACTTCAGGGGGAGCAGAAAGAGCCAGAGCTGAGGAAAACGTGCTATCAGATTTCCCAACCAACTTCCCAGACTTGGAAGAGGCAGATGGATACCTGATCTTTCAGACATGTGGCACGGTTGAATTTCCAAGCCTCTTGAGATGCCTGCTCCTTGCTATTCTCCTGCCTCCATTTTCCTTTGGAAATGCATAATTCCATTACACACCCAACTGTGACCATGTGTCAGATGCTGTCAGCAGAGGCAGTGGGTGTTCAGATCTTCAGGGGACGCTCCCCAAGGTGTCCCTGTAGGAGAGCACTCAAGTCCACTGAGCAGCTGGTGTTTGCAGCACCAAATCACAGCTTATTGCTGAAGTAGCCTCTGCTGGAAAGGAGCTGAGTCAGGGGCCTCTGGCACCCAGGGGCTGGGAAGGAGTCCTCCTGGGGGTAGGTTTTGTGCAGACCCCTGCCTGCCAGTGTGGCTGGGCTAGCCCTGGCCACCAGTGATGCAACGCTGAGGACAGGGACTGGCTCTGCACCCAGACCCAAACCACAGCCAGGGCTTCATCAGGAGCCTTCATGTAGCCCCATGGACACATCAGGGCTCAAAGCTAAAAGGGAAGCTTTAACTGCACTTGAAACTCATCGTGCAGTGTCCGATGCCATTTGAGGTAGATACGTACAACTGCTGCCTAGGATTATGTTTTCACTGGAGTGGTTTTTCAATCCACGTTGTGAAATTGTAGCTCTCACACTGTTTGTGATGACCACTACCCCTGGAAGCCCTAAAGTACCAATGCTTGCTTTATTTTTTTTTATCTGAATGAACTTGTTCGCCTATAAACACTGCAAGTGGAAGGCCCTTGTGGCCTGCCAGGAATGCTGGTGATAGACAGGACAAATGAAAGCGGTGAATGAAATGGTCCACTTAATCATTTTCTAACACTGTTGCAAATAAAACACCTTTATCGTTTCCATGGCAGATGCTTTCCCCTTATGATGAATTGATGATGTCAGTTGATTTATATTTTCTCCTTCTTCCATTCCTCCTCTTCGTAGGCCAGATGACGTGATGCTGAAGCGCACCCATGACGAGACTGTCCTCTTGCACTGCTTCCTCTGGCCTCTGGTTACGTTCCTGGTCGGAGTCCTCATCGTGGTCCTGACCATCTGTGCCAAGAGTTTGGCTGTCAGGGCAGAGGCAATAAAAAAGAAGAAGCATTTGTAAATGGCGAGGCTCCTGATGGAAAAGAAAAACCTGCAAGAAGGTCTCAAGTGGGGCAGCTCGACACACGTGCAGGTCTGCGGGGCCCCCAACGGCGCCTCCTTCCAGAGTCTCATCTGACGGTGGAGTTGCTCTTGCCTCAGGATTATTCTTGGGAGACTGCCCCATGAAGTGTCAGCTAATTGCTTCTTCTGCTATGGCAGCAAATAAGTATATTCTACCAAAAAAAAATCTACACTGCACCAAATATGCTGTGTGCTGTTAGTCCTGAACAGCAGCTACCCAGGTCCTAGTGGTATTGAGAGACAGTTTATACCCCCCCACCCCTGATGTCGCTCATTTCATCTCCATGAAGAAATCTTTATTATTGTTTAATATTAAATATTTAAAATATTTACTTTGTGATAAACTGTACTTCCAAAATAATAAAGTTTGGTTGTTTGGTTTTTTTTTTTTTTTAAAAAACAAAGCTTTAAGACAAAAGTAACACTGTGCTGATTTTGGTTTTTTCTTCACTGTGTAGAATTTCATTTTAAAATTCAAACTTTAACTTCTGTCTAGACGAAATCTTTCATCATCACCTGTTCATTGTGAAGCAATGTAGAAATCTCTCAGAAATACTTCTCCAAAAAAAAGAAACAATTATTGGAAAAGGTGATTAAATACTGGATCTGATTTTCTTGCCTCAGTGGTATTCAGTCCCTACAGTTTTTCTTGTCCCCTCTCAGTTACCCTCTTCACCAAAATGCTCTCAGGCCGTAAGGAGCGGGGATTTGGAGTGGTTGAATAGGTTTTTCCAGCGATTTCCCCAAGTAGTGGAGTGCCTGAGCACTTGCTGAGGGGAGCCTGGGAGCCGTGGTGTCACACATGTCACCAAGCTCCAGGGGTGGCTGGAGAGGGACATCAAGTCCTTGTAGGGCTGTCGGTGTTTGCCGCTGAACTGCCCATCCCATCCCATTCACGCCAGGCCCATGCAGGGTCCCCCTGAGGGGATGCTCCAGAAAATGCAAGGTGGGCTGGGCACGGCATCTCGCTGGGTCTCCTCACTCTGCTCATTCCTCCAAATTGCGGCGTACGACGGGAGTACCCGCCCTTGTCTGCGCACTCGGTGCAGAGGTTTCCCTGTGTCTGGCAGTTTCCCCGAGCACATCTGAGATGAGCAGCTCCACGGCACACGGCCTCGCCCCCGCAGGGCTGTGCGCCCCTGGGACCACCTGTGTGGCTTTGCAAGGGCTGGCACACGGCGGGGAAGAAGAGCCACGTGGTTCGGCCAGGAAAGTGAGTCTCTCAGCGTGTGATTACTGGCAAAGCATTTTAATTTACATTAACAGTTCGGCAATTCTAACCAGACTGTTCGTTGTACTAATCTCTGGTATTCTTAGCATTATGCTTAAATACCTTGTGTTTCGTTGTGCTTTTAACACATAGGAGAGGTGTTTCCTGAGGACGAGGAAAGTGCTAGATCTGAAAGCCTGAAAGCTTTGCTGGCACAAGGCACAGTGACAAACCTGCTTCTATTGCCCACTCTCCATCTCAGATTAATCGCATTGTTCATTTAAGGACTTATTTCCATACAGCTTTGTATTTAGTAAACTTGTGCACGTTCTGGGCATCGTGGTGCCCAGTGATGTGGGCAGCAGGGTGTCTGGAGGTCATTCCCCAATTCTCCTGCTCACTTGCTGTATCACTTTTGGAGAATCCTCTGGTCCCAATGCACTCCAGGATAGCTGTTCCTTTGAAGGAAGGTAAGGAAACCTGTCTGTGGAAGTGCTTTGATGCTTCTTGGCTAGGTACTCTGTATGAAACATCTGATTAGTGCTGGTTGCACATGTTCAAGCACTTCCAGTTCTGTGGATTAAAAGTGCTGCTTGCATGAAAATTTCCCAATGCTCTGTTTTAAATGCGCCCCCCCTTTGGATGTGCCTGTTGTCAGGCTCACACGGGTACCCTCTGCCTCAGCCTGCCGAAAAGGATAGCACTGGATATACTGGATGAAGAGAGGTTGTGAATGCTCAGCCGACTTCTGGAAGTGCTGTCCTGCAAAGGATGCGGCGTTCCCTTTCACTCGTGTCTCGCTGCCGTGGCCTCGCCCGCGTCCTCTGCGATTCCCTTGTCCTGCCCACCCGCAGAAACATTGCACATGAGTGTCTGGTTTTGGGGCTGGGGTGTCTGTTACTGTGTGTTTTCTTTTACATATTACTTTTTTACACTCTGCAAATCATAGAACGCTGCTGCTGTGGGGTGGTTTAGTTATCTGGGTAAGGTGGTGGCAAGTTCCTCTCCTCTATTCCCTTCTTACAGGTGTGGGGAATAACCCTGGTATTCTGCACATATATATCTCTGTTTTCCCAAGGGAGAAGGAAATACATAGTGACACAGATTCATCATGGATTTTTAAGCCATTATCTTGGGGCTCACAAATCCAGATTAACAAAATCCTCTCTAGCTTTGCTCCAGAAGCTTTTGTGACTGAACCGTGCGGCTGGTTCTCTGAGCGAAAGGCGAGAAGCAAATTGAGTTGATGCAGCTCGCTTGATCGGCAATCATGTCTTTAAATCTGTTAGAAATGCCATTTGCAAAGGCCTCTGGAGGTAAGTAATGGTTACAAAGATGATATTAAATCATTTTGCAGAGAGATTAACATCCCAAATTAAACATCTAAATTGGCATGCAAAGACAGGCAGTAAGTATCTCCCTGGCTTGGCAGTATGTGATGCTGAGGGGGAAAAAAAAAATCCTAAAATTCACTTTTCTGTCCCAGCCTGCACCTTGCTGATTTAGAAATGTCTTTCTAATCCCCATGGTTGATCATGGAAGCTGGGGATTTCCTCCTAGTGGATTATTCACTGATTTCCCCCTTGGCTTTGTGGATTTCCAGTTTTCGCAGCGTATTCTCTGAAGCGTATTTGCAGCCAGAGTGGCTGCTTTTTTTTTTTTCCAGAGCCATCTGCAGAGTCGACTTTTGCATTTTATTCACTATTTATATGCTATTGCTTTGAGGAATTTTGTTCCGTCATGCTGTCTGCTGCTCCGCTTCAGCAAGACCTGCCTTCTGTTTCACATAGTACAATTAAATCGGTTTGCCTGCGCTCTCTCTCTCTCTGTTAGCTTCTTGGGCTCATTCTAAAAGTTGAAGTAATAGGAGCAGGTTTGGTTGCATTTTTCTTGCTTTGTGTGTTTCTGTGTTGCCAGTAAAAGATGAGATTTCACAACACATTAGAAAATTGAGTTACTGAATGAGAAGCCTTAATTCAATGCTCGGAGCAGATGAGGGGTGTCACAGGGGTATCCAGGAGCACTTTTAAAGATCATTACCTGTCATTTCTGGTGTAAATGTAGCCCTGTGACAGGGCTCCAGCACAGTCTGCTGGATTTGAGGGGCTTTTCCCAGATGGGCTCTTTGGCAAAGCGCTGCAGGGTGCAAGCTGGGAGGCATGTGGAGCGGTAGCGCAGGTCTCAGCTTCCAAACTCGCGCTGCCAGGTGAGTTTTGAGGGATTTGTCCTCGATCAGAGCAAAGGTGTCTGCCAGGCGTGAGAGCGCAGAGCATTCTGTGCATCTGCCGCCATGGGTCAGCCTGCGCCAGGGCTGGGTTGTCATCCCCGAGGGATCAGGGATGGCGACGGGGGGGCAGCTCAGCTCATTTCACCTGCTATGCGAAAGGATCCGCCGAGCGTGTGTTATCCCATCAGAGTCCCGCTAGGAAATCCGACAGGGGAAAGACTGGTTAATGTTTAAAACCCTTTCGTAGATAAGGTGTAGGGGTGACGTAACCTTGAGGAAGTGTCTGATGCAGGTTGCTAGGGGTTTAGGCCTTGCCTGAACAATTAAAACTATTTTAAAGTGGGCAGTTGGCACCTGCGTGGGCCTGGCATGACACGGGACAGAGTGGATCGCCTGTTAGCAGAAGGGACGTGCCATGCAAGCGGCTTTGCTCAGCACCGCAAATACAGGAGCTGCCTGCCGAATCTCTGCTTCTGCAAACTTTATCCTAAAGGGCCAAAAGTATCTTAAAGCCAAGAATAAACACATGGAAGAGGTGACACCTAGAAGAGTGTTTAAGAAGAAAAGAAAAAAACCTGGTTTATATTTAGGTAATCAGATGAAAAGAAGCACAGCAGAATTCCTAATTATGAAGCCTATTGTATCACGAGAATATTTTCTTGCAGTCCCTGACAGAAATCCTATAGCTGGAGTTATAGACAAATCAGCTTATTTCTGTGTGTGATTTCTCCAAGAACCAAAAGCTGTGGGTTTGTTTTTTTTTTTTTTTCTCGGCATGGAGCAGCTGCTATTCCTCCATTAACTTTCAATCAGAAACCAACCCCTTCGCTTTCTGGCATCTTAAGAGGTTGCTACGCTGATCTGTCAAGCTAACAATCTTTGCTGTGGAAAGCATGAGCGGGAAAATCTCCGAGGGAATATGCGTGCAATTAATCATACTGCCTTGTCAGGTCACAGACCCACTGAATGAATCAACCCCCAAGTTTGATATTTGAGAGGCTGTGCAATTTTCTTTCTGGTTTGATATGCTAGCACGAACGCTGTCATTACTTGTACTGCATTTAATTCGCAGCTCTTTGGTGGTCTGATGGTTTTAAGTCTCGTAAGCCAAGACATTGCTTTGCATGCGTTGGGTGCAAGGCTGGAGATGCAATAAGATGAAAAAGAGTAGCCCATTAAATTATACAGCTTTAATTTGGATATAAAATCTCAATACAAAATATATTGCCATAGCTGTAAAATTAGATACACACCTACAATACGCAAACAATTTCCAAACAGCCCATACAGCAATCAACCTGAAATAACTCTCCCAGAAATGCAGTAAAAGTTACTTAAATCACCTTTGATATTGCATTAAAAAAAAAAAGCAATCTGCCTGTAATTTAATTTAATGAGCTAATGCAGTGTCAAACGCTACCTTACATAACGTAACTTCTTGACGACTTTTCAGCTAACATAAGGTTTATCCCTTTATTTATTTGCATGCCAGTTGCCATTC